GATAATGCACAGATTTTAAGAGAGGAAAGGAGAGGAGGAGAAAGAGGGCCTGAGACAGAGTGTGCTTCATGTGCATATTAGGTTTGGAAATCACTGCCTCCCACTAACTCCACCAGGGAGATTTTCAAGCACATCTGCTTACATCAAAGAGCAGAGCTGTCCCTCAGTAAAGGCGTCTGTTCAGCTCCCTTTATACCCCCTTTCCAGAGCCAAGGAACAGACACCAGAGGGTTCTTCTTTTTATTGCCTTTCTGTAGGAATTACATCTAGAGGTCACAGTCCTGTATCACTGAACCCAGTTTTGGACTCCAGCTAGCATTTTAGAGGAAACCTCAAACACACTGTTAATAATAATGTCTTCTAAAAAGATCAGATTCTCACAATGTTGGTTCTTCCTATCCATAAACAAAGAACATCTTTCTGTTTTCTGAGATCCTCTTCAATTTTTTTTAGAGTAACTTAATTTTCAGTGTGTAAAGTTTTACTTTGTTAGACTAATTCCTACGTATTTCATTTTTTAATGCTATTGTGAGGGATATGGTTTTCCTAATTTCTTTCACAGCGAGTTTGTTTGAGTGCAGGAATGCTATTGATTTTTGAGTGTTAACTTTGTATCCAGCTGCATTACTGAATTTGGTTATTAAATCTAGAAGACTTTTTGTGGAATTTTTGGGTTCTTCTATGTAGAGTATTGTGTCATCTGCAAATAATGATAATTTAACTTCTTCCTCTCCTATCCTTATTCCTTTAATTCTCTTTCGTGTCTAACTACTCAGGTTAATGTTTCCAGTACTATATTGAATAGGAGTGGTGATAGTGGGCATCCTTGTCTTGTTCCTGATTTTAGTTTAAAGGCTTTCAGTTTTTGCTCATTTAGTATGATGTTGGCTGTTGGATTGTCATAGGTGGATTTTATCAGATTGAAGTAAAGGCCACCTACTTTGACGTTGTGTAGGGTTTTTATCATATGAATGTGAGATTTTATCAATACCTTTTTCTACATCTATTGAGATGATCATGTGATTTTTGTCTTTGTATTGTGATCCTAATCAAAATACCATTAGCATACCTCACAGATCTAGAGAAAATATTCCTAAAATTCACCTGGAACCAGAAGAGACCTAGAAGAGCAAAGGCAATCCTGGGCAACAAAGATAAGGCAGGAGGCATTGCAATCCCTGACTGGAAATTATACTACCAAGCTACTGGGATAAAATCAGTATGGTACCAGCAAAAACAAGCATACCTGAAGATCAGGAGTTGTATCTGAAGATGCAGACAGAACTACAAACACACTCTGCTACCTTATCTTTGACAAAGGGGCCAATCATGCTCACTTAGAAGAAAGAGAGCCTCCTCAATAAATGGGACTAGAAAAACTGGCTTTCCACATGCTAAAGTCCAAAAGCAGATTCATGCCTAAACTAAACTAAACACTATACATTAAACTAAAGTCAAAATGGATCAAAGATCCAAATACTAAAATAGAAACATTAAATCTACTGGAAGTTAAGGTAGGGAGAAATCATGACAGCATAGGAGTATGTAGGCAGAGAGTTCATGAACAAAAGCCAAACTGCATGGGAAATACTTCAAAGAATCAACAACTGGGATCTCATTAAACTTTTTCACCTCAAAAGTAATCACCAACATAGTGAAAAGAAAACCCACAACCTGGGAAAATATTTTAGCCAAGCATCCCTCAAAGGACCTCTATCTAGAACATACAAAGAACTGAAAAACATCAGGCCCCAGGGCCAGGGATTTAGCTCAGTGGCACAGGTGCCTGCATGGCATGCACAGGTTGTGAGTTCGATCCCCACTACCAAGTAAGAAAAAAAAATACCAAGCCCCAAATTCAAAGACCCAGTCCAAAAATGGGCATGTGAGATGAAAACACACTTCTCAGATGAAAAAATACAAATGGCAAGTAAATTATATGAAAAAATGTTTAACATCATTGGTCATTTGGGAAGTGCAAATTAAAACAACACTGAGATTCCATCTCCAGAAAGAATGGCTGTCATCAAAAAATCATCCAATTACAAATGCTGGAGGGGCTGTGGGGAAAAAACGAACCTTTGGCCACTATTGGTATGAATGTAGACTGGTGCAACCACTGTGGAAATCAGCATGGAGATTTCCTCAAAATACTGGAATTAGAGGTCCTGTTCCACCCAGCTCTTCCCCTTCTGTGTATTTTTATCAAATAATTGGAAACATCACACCACAGTGATACAGGTACATCCATATTTATAGCAGCACAGTTTGTAATGAGTAAATCCTGGAAACAACACAATGGCCATTCACCGAAGAATGGATAAAAAGATGTGGTCTTTTTATTCAATGGAGTCCTACTCTGCAGTAAAGAAGGGTAAACTCAAGCCTTTTATAGGTAACTGCATGCAACTAGACACCACCCTCAAAAGTGAAATAAATCAGACTCCCATGTGGAAACAATGTATTATTTCCCTGCTGTAAGAAATTGAAAGAGTATTGTAGAAAGGAAAGAAACTGTTAAAAAGGAAAGAACAACTAGGATGAATGAATGGTGAAAAGAAGAAAAGGGGAAATGTGCATGTATACAAATATATATACACAATATATAAACACAAACTATATATGTATATATCCAAGATAGCTAAGATAATTGGACTGTTAGTTCATTGAAAGGAACAGTTAGTGCTTCTATTGTTTGATCAGTTTGCGTGCCTGTATCTGGTAATCTGAGCAACTGTTTTAAAGACAACAATAGGCAATGTAATAGCCATTGTTAATTTCCTATTATCTTGTGAAATTCTGTATCATTTGTATTTTTTAAATTTTCTTTTAAAAATACAGCTTTTGGAAGATCACTTAAAGTACGATCCAATTTATTTTAAAAATGCTTTCTGTAGAACTAAATATGTATATAAGTTTGTAAATGTACCTGAAAAATGAAAGCAGTAATTATAACCAACTCACTGGAGTTCTGGTGATTCTGAGAGGAAGTTTTGTTTATTCTAGTTCTGTCTATGGACCTTTCTTCTTTTTATTTTTCTTTTAAAAAAAAATTCTGAACTTTTTGTAATAAACAGGTATCATTTTTACCAGAGCCATAAAGTTAAAAAGTAAAATAAAAAGGTCAGCTTCTAATACACTGTTTTAAGGAGACTACAGTGGTTATCTTTGTTTTCAGAGAGGCACAGTTTCTTCCAAAGGAAGACATACCTACAAAGTCAAAGTACAACCACTAGTTTACTTGGCAAACATAAAATTAAAGCAAGGGCTGGGTTGGCTTGTTCCTGCCTGTAATCCCAGCACTCAGGAGGCCGAGGCAGGAGGATTGTTGTGTTTTCCATTGTTGTATGTTGTGTTGGCTGCAAAATGAGCTCAAAGCCTAAACTGTATAGTAAGACCCGGTCTCAAAAAAACAAGGAAAAGTAATTAAGGCAAGAGCAGTGGACCACATCTTCCGGGTGGCTGTCTGCATCCATTTGCCCTGACTTTATTCCTCCATCTCCACTGAAGGAGGGTGACCAGGCATGGTTGTTCCCAAGATGATGCTAGATAGCACGTGTTTTCCTTCCACTTTACCATGCTTGATTCTCAACTTACTCTTTTGTTATTTTTTTTAATAAAATAATAAGGCTGTAGAATTTTTAAAAGAAAATTACTAAAAACATCTATCTCTTTTCCTATCTTTTACGTTCCACCGTGAGATTCCACCTCACAGAAAAGGACTTCAGGACCTTCTGGGTGTAGGGAATTAAGAATTTAGAAAGTCTCTGGAAAGACCGGAAGCCCGGACCCTCAGTGGGGTTCCAGCCATGGCTGCCTGAACGGGATCGGGATAAAAATAAGGGGGAGAGTTGCTGCTGAGCAACATCAAACAATTTTGTAAACAATTTCGATTTTTACAAGAATAATAGTGAATTTAACACACCTGCACAGCTGTGCACCCTCATGCCATTAGTTTCAAGATATAAAACAACTGAGTTCCCTCAAAACTTCCATCTCTCCTCTCCGTTTCCCCTTCTAAGCCCCTGATAACTACCGATCCATCTCCTTATAATTTTGCCTTTCCTAGATCATAAAATACGAAGGCTTGCTGGGGATTTAGCTCAGCGGCATAAGCACCTGCCTTGCAAGCAGGCGGTCATGAGTTCGATCCCCAGTACCAATTAAAAAAAAAAAAAAACAATACGAAGGCTTTGTGTCACACTCAGTTCACTTAGCATGTTTATTAAATTCATATATATGATTGTTTATATGTTTCTTATATACATTTTTTAGTACTGGGTATTATTTCATTGTATGAATATACTACAATTTACTCACCATTCACTGCTTAATGATCACTTGAGTTGTTTATAGATTTTGACAATTACAGACACTCAGCAGGCGTGGTGGCACATGCCTATAATCCCAGCACTTGGGAGGCTGAGGCAGGAGGATCACCACAAGTTCAAGACTAGTCAATGCCTTGTAGTGAGTCCAGGCCAGCCTGAACTGCATAGCAAGTGAGACCCTGTCCCAAAAAAAAAAAAGAAAAAAAGAAAATTTACAAACACTTATGGAATTCTATGTCTCTTGGGTACATATTTTAAAAGAATTTTTTGAGTTTTATGGTGAAAAAAAAAATATATATATATATATATATATACCAAGAAGCAAAGTCAAGACCTCACACTTGCCAGGCAGGCGCTGTGACTGAGCTGTATCTTCAGCCCTTTACTGTCAGTGTTGTGGGTGGAGTCTCACCTAGCCTAGCTTCCCTGCTCCCCACACGGTTAGTCCTTGTCGATTTGCCCTTGAGTGACCAGCCCCAGGCCCGTTTGCTTAGAGTGTGGCATTGGTACACATCTGAGTCTTCTAAGTGATCATTCCGGGATGAAGGCAGGCTCCAGTGTGCAGCTAAGGATGCTGATGGATTACAAATGACCACCAATCACAATGCTGCCTGTGCCTTACTGGATTTTAAATTCCCTACATGACAATGCTTTGTGGTTCTCTTCCAGGCTGTTTGATCATTCTATGGAAGGATTTAAAAATTGGGAGTTCATGACCATTCATTGCTGGGGAGAACAAGCTGCTGGCGACTGGATCCTTGAAGTTTATGATACTCCCTCCCAACTGAGGAACTTCAAGACTCCTGGTGAGCGCTTCCTTTCTGTCAATAATCGTATCACACAGGAAAATGATGGAATGAATATATTTTGACCAGAGAGTGTTTCTCACATGTCTTAGCCTGTTTGGGGATGCTATAACAAGATACTGTAACTGGATACTTTATTAGGAGGTTTGTTTAGTTCTGGAAGGTCAAAAGCGTAACAATGACACCTGCTTGGCCTCATAAGTGCAAATTAAAGAGATGAATTGCAAGCCTATGCCTAGCTGGCCTATGATGTCCTTCAGAAGTGGCACAAGCACAGTTTTGAGACAGCACTCCTGAAAGCACGTTGGAGGATAAATTTTTAGATCCAAAATGAAATAGGTTTTAGGGTGACTGTGGATGATGTGACCTGCGTGTCACTGTGTTATATATTCCATTGATCCACCCAAGAGATGCCTTAAGGAAAGCAGGTTTCCCCTTGTGTCGCTACCTTGAGACAAGAGTGGGCAGGCACCAGTTCCCGAGGATTATTCCCTTCTAGCCACCACTTAACGAGTGCTGCTTAGAGTTGAGCCTGAACCACTTTGTTTGTGGAAAGCAGGGCCACTAACCAGTGAGTGCAAGGAAATGTTTGGCAGAAGGCAAGTGTCACAGGTAAACTAATTGACCCAGAGCACAATGCAGAAAAAAGTGAGTCCTTAGAGGGTGATCCCTGACTTAGTGATTGTTCATCTTAAGACTCCTGGAGATGTGAAAGCAACCTGCACTCAGTGGAAACCATATTTAGAATTCAGATTTTGATTTTTCCTGGACCAGCGATGTGCAGGACAGTACTCCCTGACGGTGCTGGCCAGAGGCAGGGAACCACGGCCCCAGAAAGTCACACCAGTGTGAGACAAAGTAACTGGTTCTCCAGAATGCCATGTTGGCTGTGCGTTTTGGATAGCCTGGTTCTGCATCCTGACTGTTTACAGAATACCCATCTGTGTGTGTACAGGAGATATTCAACATTTGGATAAGGCAGGCTTTGTGTTAGGTGATTTTTGCCTAATTGAAGGCTGATGTAAATATTATAAGCCCATTTAGGGTAGACTAAGCTAAGCTGTGATGTGTAGTAGGCTAGGTATATGAAATATAGTTTTAACTTATAATAAGTTCAATTAAGTTTTATCAGGACCAAACATCAGCATCAGTCCGGGAGGAATGTGTATATTTATTTCTTAGTGTCAGGTTCCTCAAGTCCTAGAATTGAACAGGAGACAGTTTTGGAACACAGTTTAAGAGCTCAGAATTTGAATTCAGAATGATTTTTAATATTCGTTTTCCTTTTCTTACTGAAGTTGAGAAAGTTAGTAACTGCTATGCCTCAGTTTCCCCATCTGTATATTGGGAGTACTAGTCCTTACCTTGGAGTCACTATTGCATCAAATAGAATAAAATTTACAGTGTTTAGGCATGGGCTTGCTATCGTAGAGTAAGCACTGTGCTTAGAAATGTTAAGCACAGATCTGATGATGGTTATGGATGCTGACGAGTGAAAGGCCCTGCAGCTGAAGGTCTCTCCGACCTCGCCCTTCCCTAACCCTGAGCCCAGCCCTGACCATTCCAGAGTCTCTGTGTTAAGCAAAGGTGAGAAGCATCCTAAGGGGAACTCTGCCTCCCTCCTGGCATATTTGTAGCCTTGAAATGGTTTTATTTTAAATCACTTCTTGTGGTTGATTCCTTTTGATGTGAATCACATTAAGCTTAATGGCTTAGAGGCAGTTTTCCCTTTTTCTTTGGTTTGCATTGGACATTTTAAGTTTTTGATAACTAGGAGTTAAATGGATACATAAGGACTTAGCAGAAGTAGAATATTCCTTGTAACCCATCCAGGAGTGAGACTATCACTGCGGTCTCTCTGGTGGCATTCTTGACTAGGAACTGCTGTTTTGCAGATGCCCAGGAGACTGCAGGAAGGAGAATGGTCCACTTTTAGTCAATTTCTATTCGTTTAAGTAGCCGTATACTATCCATCCAGGAGCTGTCATATTAGACAGCACACTCGGTTAGGTAGTTTACAAACTGAGCATGGTGGTGCACTCCTGTAATCCCAGCACTCGGTAGGCAGAGGCAGGAGGATCACTGAATTTGAGGCTAGCCTGCACTACAAAGCTAAATATACAAAAAAAGAAAGAAAGAAAAAATTAAAAAATGTATATAGTGATTCTTTCTGAACATTGAATGATAGATTAAGAATTAGACAGAATACAAGTTTGGATTTTTTTGTCTATATGTTAACTACTGGGATAATACTAAAAATTCTGAAAATCCCAAATAAAACCTTTGTGCCTGGAAAAAAACAAAGCTTCCGAAAGAATTCTGGAATTCTCTCAAATAGTCAGAATTTGAAATTCACTCCTTGATCAAGTAATCTGAAGTATGTTCATTTCCCCATTTTCCTATAAATGCTGATTAAATGAAGACTGATCCAGTAAAGTGCTCAGTAAATCCGGGGTGTATAAATTATTAAAGAGTTAATTCTGCAAACAGTGGAAAGTGTGCAGAGTTAGCTGTGTTTGTGATGCAGGGACTCCTTTCGATCTGCTCCCCACAGTTTTGTTGTGCATATGCATGCATGCGTGCATGTGTAAAGGATTTATAGAAGTTTTACAGCTAAACAGTGACCATTTGGTCATGCCGTGGTTCACAGGTAAATTGAAAGAATGGTCCTTAGTCCTCTACGGCACATCAGAGCAGCCGTACTCCCCAACCAACGAATTCCCTAAGGTGGAACGTTTCCGATACAGCCGTGTTGAGGACCCCACAGAGGACTACGGTGCAGAGGATTATGCGGGTGAGTGGGGCTGCAGTGGGGTACATCTTCATTTTTCAGAATGCTCCACACCTTCGCCCATCATGTGGGATAATACATGATTAAAATAGCATAAGCTGTGCTAACACACTAATCACGTTGCCGTGTATTTCATCCATCCTCCCAGACGTTTTGTGTATACCTGTTAGCTTGTTCACCTATTCATCTACTCGGGCAGCCTTAAGTAAACATTGTCTGCAGAGTTGATGTGCCATCCTGTGACTGTCCCAGGCGTGGTAACCCCCAGTGTGCCATGCGTAGTTTGCCTAGCCTTACACTACTTTTAAACACAGTTTACCTACACATGGTGATGTATGAGCCTTTACCTGTATCTTTCACTATTTCTTTTGAGTAGAATCCCATTCTGAGATTCACTGCTGCAAGGAGGGAAATGAATTGTGGGGCTTGGAAACATCCAGGCAGCCTGCTCTCCAGACGTGACCCGCTGTGGGGCTTTGGGTGCGCACCCCCCTGCAAGGGTTGACTGGAAAGAAAACAACAAAGCAGAAAAAGAGCAGTTGTTAAAACTGTATGGCTTTGATCCTTAGTAAACCTGGACACTTACCCTGAGGTTCCCCGAACTCATACGACTGGCTTTTGCCCGTTTTCCTATTGGAGATGGCAGTCAGTCTCGGACCTATGTTGTGAGAACTCTTTGCACGTCACCTCAGCTCATGTTGGTTGAAAACATATTCTCAGTTACCACTTGCTTCCTGAATATAATTTTTGTTTTGTTTTGTGGCAATTTAACATTAAACTATTAGAGAAAAGGATATATAGTTTCAGATAAACAGTTGATTTTTTTAGTGCAGTTTTATCCCTGAATATCAGCTAAATAGTCATATGGTTGTTGTTGTTGTTTGTAATCCCTTATTTTTTATGTTTGACCCTTGACTCATCTAGACTCACTCTGGTTTCTGATATATAGTAGGAATTGAAACTATTCTCAGTTCCCAAACAGATTAACATCACTGGCTGAGTATCCCTTCTGATATTAGTCTATGATGCTGTCTTTCAATGTAAGTGTCTATGTCAAGGTCTGTCCTTGTACCTTTTCTGCTCATCAATCTGTTCTCAAACCACATGCAGTGTTTTCTGTGGGGTTTTTCTGTCTGTTTGGTTGGTTTTTTGAGGGTGTGGGGAAGGCTCAGGGATGTTCCCAACTGAACTTAGGCCCTCATGCTGCTAATCATACCCCTTACCACTGGGCTACACCCTCAGCCCTCCTGATGTATTTTAATATTTTTTGAACATCTGCTTTCCATTTTCATAGAAATGATTGCCCTGCTGTTCTCCAGATAAAATTTTAGATTGTTTACTAAGTTCCCTTTAAAAGTCCCATTGGAATTTAATCTGAATTTACATGCTTGCAAGCTCATGGAAAAAATTATTTTTCACAATACATTGCTTTTCCACCTAAAATGTACAATTGTCCTATTTTGGTGAAATCTTTTTTAATTTTATATAGTTTGATTCTTGATTATGTTATACCTAAGTAATTAGATCTAACATGATCTTATTGCTCACGTAAGGGAAAACTTTGCTCGCTTTCTGATCAGTATACACGGGTATGGAGGAAATCTATTGGTTGCTGCATTTTTATCTGATATCCGTCCACGTGACTTAACTCTGTGATTAATATACTGTTTATGTTTAGCGTTGGTTTTCTGGTGCTTTCAGTACTCCGCCATCTCACCTGAAAATTGTGATCTTTTATCCTTTCCATTATATTTCTGACCCCTGTCTTGTTGCATTGGCTGTAACTCCTAAAACCACTTCTCTTGAGATATGATATGTAACACCTAATACAGAAAGCTTCCCTGATGGAGAACTTTGTATAAGTAGAAGTATGATATACCTTCAGATAAGAAATATTTGGTTATTGTACTTCTAGGATTTTTCTCTAACTACTGAAATAAATGTACTTCATTAATCACTGGAGAATATCTTAAATATTCATATAGTTCCTTTGTTCTAAATAGGTAGCCTCTCAGAATCAGTAAAATGCTTGGATAATTATAACCAATGGGGTTAACTAGAGTACATAAGATTTTGCCTTGGTTTGCTTCAGGCTTATAAAATGACTGTTTATGTTATACTGTCCACCATTTTGTCATCATTGACAGGAGAAAGTATAGCCAAAAGCATAAATGGACCCAATAGAAACCTATTTCTTTTATTTCTTATTCAGATTTTGATAAGGTTAAAACTCTGAACATAGTGAAACAATTTTGTGGGTTTCCTTATTACATCTCTGAAGTATTGATATTGGCAGTTATCAGAGACCAGAGACAATTACTTCATTATTACTCTGCAACCTGCAATGCTAGATTGCATCTGGGATAGTTTAAAATTATCAGAGAAACAGCATAGCATGTGAACCTACCATACAAAGCCCTGAGAGCACATAGCAAGAATAAATGTGTTTAGGATTTTTTTTTTAAATTCTAGAAATCAGCTGGTGAAATGTTAGGGCCACCCATGACTCTTTCCTGTGGAACTGTGACTTTTTACCTTCATTTAGAAGGCAGCCTGACTAGAGGCAAAGACAGCTTTATAAATAACCAGATCCCTATTCTGTTTCATTGAATCCCAGGGACCATGAGAACCAGAGCTAGCCGGACTTCAGTCCTTTCCAGCATAGCCGTCTTTCCCCTGCTAGACAGTGGGCAGCTAACCGGTCCCAAGTTGTACTTGCTGTGGAATTTAATGTCAAGATAAATTTAAGATTTGTGGGGAAATGGGGATAAACAGTGTTGTCGAACGACTCTTGTAGTTAATTGGTAATATATTTTAATTCTGCAGCATTTGAAATAACTTACTTCCATTAGGATGGAAAGGTCATTTTGCGTACCTGATTTGCTACCTTTAGGCAAGAAATACTGACTAGATAGCAGGACAATGTTAATCCAAACCCTTCTAGCTATGCGATCCTGGGCAAATCACGGTTAATGCTTGGAAAAACCGATCTTCTCATTAGTAAAATGAGTGACTACCAGATATTTTTCTAAGTCATTCCACCCTGCTCTAGCATTTTATGCTTCTGGGATTCAGTTATTTTGGACACAGTTCGATAATATCTTAGAGAAACCAGAGTGAACACTAAGTCCCTTAGAGTAAAGTAGGATTCAAAATATTTCTGGTACCCTTGGCTTACTATTTCATGCAATTATTCATTGATGGTTGAAATCATATGAATTTTCAGTGCAAAATATATTGATAATTGGGAGACCACATATGCCAAAGTACAGAATCAGGGAAAAAGAATTAAAAACTGTAAGTAGCCCATATCAATAAAAAGTTTTTGCCAACTGCAAAATGATTTTCTGCTATTTTTTTTTCTCTTTATTTGTTCTCTCTCTCTATACCAAAGACTATATAGCAAGAGAAATGAGGCGCCTCCATCCCAGGTCTGACATTCTTTTATGCTAGTTCTCATTTTTACATTTTTGTGTCATTTTCTCTCATGGAGTTTCTCACTGCCTTTGGGTAGACTGCAATTTTCAATCTATTATCTGCACCTAAGGTACCTACTTTGTGATCCAGGACTAGATACTGATAAGCTTGTGCAGATGCCATAATGGGTATTTCAGAAGTTCTTTGTGGCTTTAATGACCTCAAGACAGGCAGTTTGGTCCAGGCATTAACACTTTTTTTTTTGGTCAGCACCTAGCTTCTCATTTTCTGTAAATCCTATGTCTTTGTTTTGCATGTTAATTGCAGGGTTTTTTTTTTTCCCAGTTGCATCTGTCACATTGTTCATTTGAATCCTGAAATATTTATCTTCCACCATGCAGCTGTATATGTTTAGAAGAATGGGCCTTGGGTAGATTCGACGTACCTGATACCTAGGCCATGTAGTTTTCCTGATAAAAACCAAAAGTTTGTCTCTGAGCTTACATTCCTGTTTCCTACTAGTCCCCTGTCTTAAAGAAACTGTCACTGTGTAAGAGAAAAAAGTAATAGGATGCTGTCCTGAGCCAAAGCCCAGATCACGCAGACCTGCAGGAGTGCTCTGCTCACGCTCTGCTCCGATCTCTTTTGGAAAGGCCCCTGCGATCCCGAGTGCAGCGAGGTGGGCTGTGACGGGCCCGGACCAGACCACTGCAGTGACTGTTTGCACTACTACTACAAGCTGAAAAATAATACCAGGTAAGAGACCACAGCAGAGCACACACATGGCACCAGGACCAGCAGCGTGGGGTGCGTGCCCAAGGCCACCGTTTCCCCATGTCCTCCACCAGGCCACGACCTCAAAGAAGGCGCTGCTCAGGCTCAATCATTGCCCACCAGTGGAATCCACAGTGCTGAAATTCATGCTGCCCAGTCACAGAGCACGTAATGGGTGTGCGTGGGCAAATGTCTGTCCTCTCGTTTAGCTGGAGAAACCAGTGCAGCACATGCCTGCTCTTCTTCAGTTTGTTCCATTTTGTTTTGTTTATTCATTACTGCTGGTGTTGCTTTGTGGTACTCAGGATTGAGCCCCAGACCTTTGAACTGTTTACATCTCTGTCCTCTTTTATTTTGACACAGGGTCTCACTGGGTTTCCCAGGCTGGGTTTGAACTGGCAGTCCTCCTGCCTCAGCTTCCCTTGAGTTCTTTCTTTTTTGTCTTTTTGTTTGTTTTAACTATCATGTTAAAAATGCTGGGGGTATAGCTCAGCAACATAAGTGCCTGCCTGGCAAGCGCAAGGTCCTGAGTTGATTCCTGGTACCAAAAAACAAAAAAAAAAAAACATGATGTATATATAACCTGATGTTTTAAAATGTGCACACATGTGGAGTAGCTAAATCAAGCTATTCAATTTAAGCATTCCTGCACATACTAATCATTTCTTTGTGACTAGAACATCTTAAAATCTGTTGTAGCAGTTTTAAAGCATCCATTGCTGCTAACAGGTGACCGTGGTGACACTAGGCTCTCAAACTTCCTCTGCTTGTTCACCCAAAGTTCAGTGGCCTTCACACCCTGTTCCTACCCGATACTGTGGCTGTATTCATCTCCATGGGAATGCTACTGCACAGGCCAGGCTTACATTCTGCCCCCCCCCACACACACACACCTGGTATTGGTCCCTGCTTATTCTCAGTCTCCCATGGGGACACCGTTATGTGCCCAGTGCCCCTGAGCCTCTGGCTGCCTGCTAAAGCTGTGTAAGTAATTGCCCTGGGACCGAGCCATGGACCATGGACTGCCCCACCACACCATGTCCTCCCTGGCCCGTGGCCCTCACATGACCTCCTCCCTCTTCCTCCTCCTGCAGGCAGAAGTCACTCTGGGGAGCTGCGTATGGGGAGCACCACCTTAGCCCAGGCTCCCAGGAGAACCAGACAGGCTCAAATCCTTGATTGAGTCTGTGCTGGACTCCAACTTCCTTGAGGAAAAGGCCCTGAACTAATTCAGAGCCTCTGTGATCTCTTGTACTTCAGAAATGTGATATTTAATTGGTGCTCAGTAAATATTTGTTGAAGAAATAAATTAAGCCTTGTCTTTCAATTGTGGGCAAAGTTATTAGGAAAAACAGCTTCTTACCACCAACATAAATGTAAATATATTTATCTTAATTTACACTATAGCATACAACCAGAACCACTACTGATGTGTACACACTCAGGACCCATACAAAAGCAAGAAAAACTCCTATAACTAGAGTTATCTCTGCACAAAATCAAGATGCCTGTGTACTTTGCCTGTGAATCACCACCCCAGGCAAACTGTTGAGATTCAGTATCTAACCGCCCTTCCTGTTTAGTTCTGGACCTGAACTGAGAGATGGTTAGATCAAGGGACACCTCACCTGATGGACATGGCACCCTGTGACACTGTCCCTCCTTCAGTGTCCCGTGCAGGGATGAAACTTCAGCCAGCAGTGCTCAGCCCTCTGGGTTTGTTGTCAGCATCCTGGTTCAGAACACATTCCCAGGCTAAGGCCCCCACTTTGCCAAGCTTCTCCAGAAGGATGCCGAGGACCGGGTTCCCGGTGATGCAGCCTTCTTTCTTGTCATTCCACCATGCAGGATCTGTGTCTCCAGCTGCCCCCCAGGCCACTACCATGCTGACAAGAAGCGGTGCAGAAAGTGTGCGCCCAGCTGTGAGTCCTGCTTCGGGAGCCATAGTGACCAATGTCTGTCCTGCAAATATGGCTACTTCTTGAATGAAGAAACCAACAGCTGCGTTGTCCACTGCCCTGATGGGTCCTATCAAGACACCAGTGAGTTGATTTCAAATATTGAGACAACATGTAGGATGTTCATTTCAATGACGTTGGAAGGACTATTGCATCCTTTATGAAACCTGTACATTGCTTAACCTCAAACAGGTTCTAGCCAGTTTATTTTAAGAGACAGTTTAGAGAACACTGCACAGAAATTCTTAGAACTGACTGTGTCAGAGGGTTCTCAAGACCACGCCCAGATTCAAGATTTGCTAGGAATGTTCATCAGTCTTGGGGTATACTTGTATTCTTAAAAGCACAGTTAGGGTTTATTAGAGGAAAAGGATATAAACTAAAATCAGCTAAGAGAAATGACGAAGTCCAGATAAAACTGGGCACAAGCTTCCAGGAGTGCCTTCCCAAGTACAGTCACACAGGACGTGCTTCATTGCACCAACAGGAATTTGTGACACACATGTAAAATGTTGTCCACTGAGTCTCATGGAGACTGAGTGCCCAGGGGCCTACCTGACCAGCTCCCAGTGTCAAGCCTAGGCATGCACCAAAATTTCAGACTCCTAAAGGGAAAGCAGGTGTTCATCATAAGCCATATTGTTTGTACACCATGTAGACCACAAAAGAGGCCGTCATGAGAGGGGTAGAAACCCTCTAAGTGAGAAATGCAAATTAGGAGTTGCCAGCCACAAGTGTGTGAAGGGTGGCCCAGGCCTGCGGCTGGGCCTGCTCTCTACCGTACACTCACGAGGTATGAACAGGCTGTGTGGCACCGGGTTGTACCCTTAGAGAAGTTTAAAAAGAACGGCTTTATTTTAAATAAAGAATGACATATGTCAAAGGCACATAGCTCATTATGAGGTCACATGTAAGGTGGCAAATGGGTCCAAGATGATCAAGTACTGCCGTCTACCAGAAAGGGCCAAATGAAATCTCTTTGCTGATTTAGAGGTGAAATTGAATCATTCCCTACATGACAAAAAAACTAGAATCTGGGGCCATTTTGTCTGAAATAATTTGCAACTTTATCAAATAGATCTATGCCATAACATACAACTTCAGAGTCTCGGCCCTCATCCACTATAATTAGCAAACAAAACGAAGGCATTGTCCTAGTGCAGTGGTGGTCCCATGCAGCATATGTGCCACAATGGGCTGTTTGTGTCATTGAAAGCTCTGGAAGGTTTGCCATCCTGTCCTAGAGACTGGTGACCTCCAGTGTGACCCTGAAAAGGGCTGCAGAGATCTTTTGTTTCATTTCTGAGTTTTGGGTAATTCATCTTAACAGAGGTGTCACACCATGGTGTGTAATGACACTGAAATACTGTGTTTCTGCACAGCCTGACAAATAAGAAAACCCAAGTTTAAAGGAACAAGAGCTGTTTTTAAAAGATCTCTTGCTTCCTAAGAAGTGAAATTCCCTAAATCAAAGGGGTCTCTCTGTGTAGCAGATAAGTTTTTCATCTTACCTTTAAAGTAGAAGGTAGGGATTTCTTTCCATCTCTTACTGCTCCAAAATGTGGAACATGAGCTACAATCTGATAGGGAAAGGGAAAAGTGAGAGAGAAGGAGCATAAAAAATCCACAGAAATATCCACATTCCTTGGAGAATAAAGTCAAAATTTTGTCTCAGAAGGCTGAGTCTTGGAAGAGAAATTTGGTTCTAGAATGTTATATGACAAAATCAAAATAATCGAGAGTCCTTTGTTTTCTTTTGGAGGGCTTGGAATGTGCTGAGTGTGGGCTCTATCACCAAGCTGCTCTCCCACCTTCGGGGTCTCTGCCCTTTTGGAGAGCCTGGAAGAAGGATAATTAAGAAAAGAAGTTCGGTTACTTTAGATATCACTTAGTATTGGTTCAAGAGCTGCATGTCTCTCTCCTGTGTAGTTGCTTTTCATTATGGTTTTCTCCTTTACTGAGTCCTTTTATACCTAACACAGTGATCACATAGCATCATGAGCAGTAATAGTTACTGCCAATACGTGTGTGGCTTATAGCTTCCTCTTGAGTAATTTCATTAATTTCTCAAGACAAACTGGAAGTGGGTACCCTGGTAACTCCACCTACCAAGTGAGAGGCTAGAGATGCCGAATTTGCCCACTAGAAATGCTGAAAGCAAAAGGCAAACCCAGGATGTGTGACTTCATTTCCCTGGCCAGGGACAGTGAACCTTTCAGAGCATTCAGCGATGCAAACAGCCCACAGCCCACATGTGCCAGAGGTTCCCACCACCACCCTGTGCCACATCCAGTACTGTTCACAGCACAGAGAGTGCTGTGTATAAGTATCACGGTCTCTGCACAACCCCAGAGAACATTAACATTTAAAGGCAGGTGCAGGAACAGAACAGGCGAACAAGTTGGAAATATAATCTCCTTGCATATCAAAGTGGAGAGTAGGTCCCCAGCAAAAGTCTGTCCAAGGTAAGAGCCCTTCCTTAGATACCAAACGACCACTTTTCACAATAGAACAATTTTTCACAATAGCATAGTGCATTTATCACTTTTTCCCAGTGTGGACCTGGATTTATGTTAACTGTGAAAACCATGAATCACAGTGCAGTTGTTCAAATCAATACATTTCTACACCACAGAATGTAGGTATTATCCAAAGGAGAGCAGCGTTTATATCAGTTCCACAGAAGCCATAAAGTGCAAGGCTCTGTTCCAGACCAGGCAGGAATTAGGCGGTGCTTTACGTTGAATCTGCACCGTAAGTCCCTTCTTCTCTGGCCACTGGTGTGAGAGGACCCTAATGGTTGCGGGCATAGAGGGCTCCATGCTGCGCCCACAGCATGGCTGCCCAGCTTCACCAACCGGATTCTTAGTGTTGGGAGTCAGAAAACTGCTTGGGAAAGGGTGTGAGAGGGGAGAAAATCCAAAAATTATTCAGCTAAGGACTAAGTAGACTGCAGTTCTCCAGCCTGCGGGATGTCAGGGAGGGTCCGGTATTTCCTAGGGAAGCAGTCCATTCCTGCACTTGCTTAACCCAGAAGTGATAACAAATGTGATTTTGAGGCTTTTCCTGTGATTTCCTACTCAAGGCTGTGAATGCTAATATATCAGCAAACATTAGAACATCTTCTCGTGCTTTTATGGAACCCAGCTGACCAACTGATCTGTAACAGTGCTTCTCTTTTTTTAAAAAAACAGAAAAAAATCTTTGCCGGAAATGCAGCGAAAATTGCAAGACATGTACTGAACCCCATAACTGTACAGAATGCAGGGATGGGCTAAGGTAAGAGAGTAAAGGAGTTTATCAAATACCACCACCCAAGGTGCTTCTCAGTGCAAACGAGATGGAAAAAATGAATAAGCAAGCAAATAGCACTCTTCCTGTCTACCTTTGGAAGAAGTTAACTACAACTTGCATTATCTCCACCATTAGGTATGAAAAATCAGAAGCCATCTTGGCTAAGGAAGGGTTATAAACTAAATAAATTCTCTGCAGAGAAGTGAGTCAGATACAAGTGAATAAAAATGACTATTTGAGAAGCATCCTTCATGCTTTTGTCTGCATTTTGCAGCTTGGGGATTATTACACAGGTAATGCCAATGAATTATATTTAATCCACCTGATGAATGCCTCCGGTGGTGGGAAGTTAGTCTCTTATCTTTATTATTTCTCTGCACACATCCAATCATTCTCTTATCTTAAGTACCTCAGGCTTGGCTCCATTATACCATTGTGTGCATGTAGATTTAGCACCAGGAGAAGTTTGCCTTCGATGAGGGATTCGCTGATTGTCAATCAGACAGATGAGAGGAATGCACAGCTCAAAGCAACCTGGTAGCTTCTTGACAGTATGGAGGGATCACCGTCCTAGGCTAAGGAGGAGCTGGGCTGCACAGTTAGAATTCTCTCCCACTGGATTCCTTTTGGGTATTGACAGTGCCTTTATCAATCACTTTTGGGTATTTTGTTCATTTAAGTTTACGATCTATACCTTTGTTCCTTTTCTTTATAAAACCTTCAGTGTCCGTTTGCCTATGAGTAGCTTGCATCTCGAGATGAAAACTCTTGATCAGTACCAAGCTGTTCAGCCTCCTTACTATTCCTGGAGGAAGAGTGATGTGGCCTCAGGTCTCCTCTGCTGTTTATTAGCGGTGACCTTGAGCAAGTCGCTTAACTCCTCCCAGCCTCCATTGTCTCATCCATATAACCCATAATTTGCAGAATTATGGTGAAAAAAAAAACAATGGTAACATTGTGAGGCCATTTTTAGTCTAGTATGAGGCACCTAACTGGCCCTTGAGAAATCAGATTACTTAGATTACTTTCTTGATTTCTGAGGGAACACTCTACAAAGTTAAATCAATGTACTCTGATAGAAATATGAGAGTCATACTTTTTTTTTTTTTTTCTGAAACAGGATCTCGCTGTACAGTTCAGGCAGGCCTTGAGCTCACTTTGTAGCTCAGGCTGGTCTGGAACTCACAGTGATCCTCTGCCTCAGCTTCCTGAGCACTAGAATTACAGACATGTGCCACCACACCAGCTATGCATTTAATTTTAATATGTCAGTAGCCATAATAAAAGAAAAAAGAAACAGGGAAAGTTGACTTTTAATAAAATCTTTTATTTAGCCTAATATGTCCAAAAATATTATTTAAACATGTGACAAACTTGAAAAACTAATGTATTTTACATTTCTGTTTTATTGCCTTACTAAATTTTCAAAATCTGGCATATATGTTCTTAAGTACAGCTCCATCCTGAGAATAATTTTTATGAGAAATATCTCCATTTGGGTTTTTTAAGTCTTGTTGAGAAAGTAGATTTTAAAAAGTCGAGAGGTCCCAGATGTACCCTAACATTTGCCAATAACCAAGCCCAGTGCAAATCTTCCAGATTTAGACATTAATTAAAATGATATAAAAATGTGGAATGCGGCTTCTGGGGTGGCACTGGCTATGCTTTAAGAGTCCAGCAGCCACTGTGGACACACAGGTCTGGCCCAGCCAGTTCCTCAGAGAAGGCACGGGCTTTCCCCGGGCCAGGTGCCGTGCTCTCACAGGGCCTGTGTCCAGCAAGTGGCAGAGAGCTCGGGGAGCGGTGACCGCCCTGTGCTCCATGTCCCTTCCGGTCATTTTTTCCCCGCAGATCGCAGCCTTGGCCCCTTGATGAAAGTGGCCGCTCAGAGGTGCTGGCCTTGCTTGGAAAAACCAGGCGGGCTTTGTAAAATTGTGATAAGTTTTCCAGTGGCCCTTCCACCTCCCGAGGACCAGGATGCAGTGTCCCTTCTCTACCACTGCAGAGAGGCCGAGGGGTTACATGGCTTTGAAATGACCGCGCTCTGGCCGAGAAGGAGGTCCATGGGTGACACACACGCCGACCATGAAGCTGCCTTTGTCTGCTGCAGGCCACTTGCATTTTCCTGGAACCTTTTGATCTCACAGAGCCTATAAATTCTTAAAGAGAAGTGGAAAACAAGTGGAAAATATCTATACATAGCGCCCAACAAGAAAATGAAGTAAACTGTTACAGGAACTATTGAAGATAACATCTTCCTTCCTTCTTTCCTTTCTTTTCCTTTCTTTTCTTTTCTCTCTAATTTTTGTACTATTTTCCTACTTCATTTACTGAACATAGGAAAAAATAAATTTGAATTTTTAAAGTTAGTGTGATCCACCTAGAGCAGTCAAGTAAGTCGTCAACTGAAGCAACGTAAAGGCTGAGAAGGCAGCAGCCGTGGCGTGCTCCTGAGACACCGTCTCCTACGCGTTCAGTGGCGGTGTCGGATCGCGTTTCTACTGTTTCCAATCACGCTAGTTTTTCAGTGTCTAGTATTTTAGATTGTGTATTGTAAATTCTGTGTATTATAATTTTAAAAATCACCCTGTAAGTTTTGGGAAATCTCAGAGCTGACAGAAAGGTAAGAGGGAAAGAAAAGTATGTATTTCTCATTTGACATCTGGCAAATCTTTTAGAGACTGTCTCATTATAAAGATAGAAAATAGAAACTTAAATGCACTGTAAATTAATGTGGGATTCATAACTCCTGCAAACACACACACACACAAAGAAAAGTCAGGATGTTTGAGAGAGCAGTGCTATAGGTAAATTCACTATACTCCTCATTAGAGTGTCTTAAATGAATAAATCAAGAAACAGGCAGAAGTGCATTAGAATTTGTGTGTGTGTGTGTGCGCGCGCGCGCGCGCACATGCACATGCGTGTATAATGCTGGGGATTGAATCCAGGGCCTTGTATGTGAGTGTAATGCTGGGGATTGAACCCAGGGCCTTGTGTATGTTAAGCATGTGCTGTACCCCTGAGCTGTACCCTCAGGCCAAGAATTCTGCTTTTCTGAAAGAAACAATAAAAGTTTAAAAATCAAAAGCACTTAAAAATATGAAAAGCTACTCCGGGGACTCTGGGCTGGAGCATGGGATGGGGTCGCTGTTAAGCTTTTATTTCAGTTGCAGTTCATTTTACTGTGTGTTTCTACTGCAATTGAATTATAACTTAAATTATTGGGGAGTAGGTCTGGATATTAGGGAACTGCTGGCCATATCGTTAGGCAATGTGATTGTTTTGTCAATCAGATATCTGTTAGATCACTGGGTTATAATAAAGCAGGATCATCTGCCCGTCTGAAAGTTCAGGAGACCGTCCTCAGAGTTTAGCAGCATCTGTGTGTGCTACAGATCTCATTCTTGTACCAAGAGAGAAAACGTGGGGCACAAGGCTATTTGCCTAGCTTTGAACCTCTCCCAAATCCACTGGTCTCTAAGGATACAGTGTTTGTCGTGTGTGAAGTTTAATGAATCCTGGCTGCTTTGCGTTGATCGCCATTGTCTGCTAACAGTCCTGTGTGCATTTCTCCCAGCCTGCAGGGAGCCCGGTGTTCTGTCACCTGTGAAGACGGATGGTACTTCAATGGCCAAGACTGCCAGCCCTGCCACCGCTTCTGCGCCACCTGCGTTGGTACCTTCTCCCAGTTCTCCTGCTTATTTGCTGGTTTCCCATTTTGTCTTTAACTGTCTGGTTCTAGCTAGCATTCATACAACACACCTTGATATACCTAAAGAAAATGTGGAGGAAACTGTTTCTCTTTTGATAATGATGTGTGAATGCTTATGCCAAGTCTATCACCACTGACATCCTCTCTTCCTTGAGAAACTTAGATATCCCAATGACATCTTTCCAAAGAGAGCAGGCGTTCTTAGCAAATAGACTCAAGTTAAAATAGGAGGGGTTTTCCCATACAAAGGAAATAAGAGAAAGCATAACACAAACTCATAGCACAGGAATGTCAGTGCCACGCACCATTAAGGATGCCGCCCTTGTTGCACCCTCCTCTGAGGCTTGGTTTCTGTTTCCTGCATGTGTCTTGCGCTGAAGGAGCAGGTGCTGACGGGTGCATTAACTGCACGGAGGGTTACTTCATGGAAGAGGGCAGATGTGTGCAGAGCTGTGGCATCAGCTACTACCTAGACCAGTCTGCAGAGCATGGATACAAATTCTGCAAGCGGTAAGTGCTTCTGGAGACGAGGTGTAATCATTTAATAACATTGGGTACTTCTTGACAGCTTTAATCCAAGTTGCCTGGTCTTTTTGGCCTAGAGGCCACCTTAAATCTTTAAAAGTAATAGTTCTGTTTCAAATACATGCTATATCCCTACTAGCCTCAGTATCTACCTAGTATTTTCTTTAATATTATCAAACCTAGCAAATTCTGCAAGGAAAAGATTTTTGTATCCTCTTCCAAGAGTGGGTTAAGCTTAAGACATTAAAAAGCTGGTAATAAACACACCTGCTCCCATGGGTGATAGTATTTGAAATTGTATGTCTTCTTATAGATGTGACACCAGTTGTTTGACGTGCCATGGCCCAGGGTTCAAGGACTGCACCAGCTGCCCCAGCGGGTACCTGTTAGACCTAGGGACATGTCAGCTGGGAGCCATCTGCAAAGATGGTGAGTACAACTGCACTTCTAGATCACCTGAGCAAAGACAAGCTTACCACTGAAGGCCTAATCCATTTCCATTTTAAACTAACAAGCATGCATCAGATAAGGCAAGTCTTATTATATCTTATTGGCATCAGGAACCTATAACTTTTAATGGGTTTGGTTTTGTACACTTTTAATTGCAAGAAGAAGTAAACTACCAATAGTCCCACAAGCCAATACAGTTCCAGTTAGGTTTTATTATTATTAATAATAGTAATAAACTTGACTTTTTAGAGCAGTTTTAGACTCACAGAAGAGCTAAGCAAGAAGTCCAGAGATGTGCTCTGTGTTCCTGCCTGCTCTTTACACAGCTTCCCATAGAATCAACGTCGGGCACCAGAGTGGAACATCTGTCACAGCCCAGGAGCCCACAATGCCCCATCATTTTCCTCCAGAGTTTATAGTTCACATAAGCATTTGCTCTTGACATTGAACACTCTATGGGTTTGGACAAATGTGCATGCCCTGTGCCCAGCTTTACCGTGTCACACAAAACAGTTCACTGCCCTGAAACCCTCTGTACTTTGCTTCGTCCTTCTGCCCCCAACCCCTAGAAATCACTACAGCTGTCTCCACAGGTTTCCCCTTTGCAAAGTGTCACGTGGCTGAAATCATAGAGTGTGTAGGCTTTTCTGGTTAATTTTTGATATATTTCTTTAAAATTCTTTTCCATGTGTACTTTTTACCAGATCATTAAAATACCATATATAAAAAGTTTTATATTCTGCTTTTGGCCCTAAACATCATATACAAACAGCATCTCCTGTCCTGTGTTTTTACCACATCTTAGAAAACTTCATTTTTAGTATCAGCATAAAATCCAATCATGTGATGATTGTATAGTATATTCTACTTTCTTGTGATTCATATTTTTTGCAATTTTGATATATTAGTCATAATCAAACAACATCTGAATCTTTTGTGAAGGGCTCAAAATTAGGAATTAATACTCTGATCTCACAGGGAACAAAAATCCCCAGGATGTGACGGTAGAAGTGGCAGAACAAAGTATAGAACTTAAAGCTTCTAAGTGTTGGTCCGTTTTTCTTTTCTTTGCACCAAAAACTCTCAGACAAGGTGCTGAGGCCCCACTTCTTCCCACAGAGTCCAGCTGCATTGTCCTGAGGTGCTGTCTGAGTGGGTAGTTTAACAAGTTCCCCATAGGTGCCCAGTGCAGCCTTCCTTAGCAGCCTGTGTTGCCTGGTTCCCTGGCAGTGTGACACATGCCCGGGGTCCTCTCTAATCACTTCCCCAGGAGTGAATTCTGCCCTTCCCTTATGTCTTCCCCCTAAAAAATGCCAGTGCTTTGTGCAGAAATCACATCTCAGAGAGGTAGAAAGACATTGAATAGTTACAGAAGTAGAAAGCAGGCACTTGAAACAGACTTAGTAACAGAATCACTGTTTTAGGGTTTTCTTTCCCTTCTTTTGACTGTTTCCTCTTGCGGAAGTGGGAAGGGAGGCAGAACCGTACTGTGGTTCCCAGAGCACAGTGCAGACAGTGGGAGGCAGGCTCCGTATCCAGGCTCAGGACCCGGCAGGTTATGAACTTCCCATGCCTGTTCCCCTCATCTGCACAAGGCGTGGCAGACAGTGAGCCCGACCTTGCACAGACTCCACACACCCATGCTAGGAGTCTCAGAAGGGCCTTAGGAACCAGTGGCGTGCAGGGTTCAGATGGAGCATCCCACACAGTCTCCAGCACGAGCACCTCGGGTGCTCCTGCAGGACCACACTCTGCCGCCTTGGGCTGGGTCTGCTCCCACTCTATTCTCAGGGTTTTGAGGGCAGGGCTATGTTTCATTCTACCCTCCTGGGGTGAGATGCCCGAATTGATGTCACTCCAGGGACAGGTGAGTATCACCTTTCAGTTACTATAAAGTACCCCCTTACCTTTACTTAGAAGCATAGTGTTCTTGTACCTGAAAATACCACCAGAACTTTTCATAAGTCAATTACCAGGAACCGCAGGGAGACTTTTAAGTGACTGCACAGGGTGGCCACAGGAACTTGAAGTTTTCATCTTGAGTGCTTGGAGCCAGACAACTCAGGGTTTGTGATGTTTTAACTACTTTTGCTCCACCGTGATGAGCACGGATGAGTTGTACCAAATGGCACATTGGTAAGAGAGCAATGTCAGGACTGTGGGCAAAAGTGTATGGTGATCCGTTTGCAGTTAAAGAATGAGGTCACTGCTGGCTCGCCAGGTTTTCAGATCACAGGGCAACCGCCTTTAAGGATGGACTGTTTGCTGCCTCTCAGCTACCATATTTCCATGACTCTAAGACATGCCCTTTTTTTTTCTTTTGGACATCATAAAGTCAGATGAGTCCTGGATTCACAGCAGGTACCACTGCTTTGACCAACAGGTGGCTAGGACCTGAGTGTCATTACCTAGATGTGAGACTTAGGCACAACTTCTTGTATGCCATTTAACAGCAGCTCAAAAGAGCTTCAAAAGCTAAACTTTTTCAATATTCCTAGAAAGGACTATTGCATGAGCACAGAAGCAAAACAGTGTCATTTAACAAATACATTTTTATAAATATAAAATAATCAATGAGTCACAATTCAATAAGAAACAATATTTTGTTTGCAATACTTAAAATAGTGGCACATCTTTAAATCCTATGTCTTGGAGTTCACGAAATATGGTACACATGACTGTATATTTTCTGCTCCAGGGAATTCTGAAAAGAAAAATTCCTTGCTTGTGTTATGGTTGATCTCTAACTTATTCTTTTTTCAATCTTTTTATTTTTTTTTTTTTCCTTTCACAAATGGATACCAATCACATTTCCCGTTGGACTGCAATATCTCTGCTTGAAAAACTGCTGTTGACTGAAATCACTTTGGGTGGACCAAATTTCCTCCTTGTTGACTGCTCCCGATCTGCTCCAACCCTCCAACCCCCCAATCTGCCTCTCTGACCAATCAAAACCTCCTTCCGTGTGCGCGCACCGCGCTCCCGACATCCGCTCCCCTCTCTCTTGCTGACTTCTGGAAAAGCAACGGAAGAGTCCTGGGCCGAAGGAGGCTTCTGTATGCTTGTGAAAAAGAATAATCTGTGCCAGCGGAAGGTCCTTCAACAACTGTGCTGCAAAACATGTACATTCCAAGGCTGAGCAGCCATCCGAGATTTATTTGTTCCTGTAGACTTATAGATTATTCCACATTATTAAACGAAAAAAAAAAAAAAAAAAGCCAAAAAAAAAAAAAAAGCAAGCCACCTCCCTCTTTCTTGCTATCTTTTTTTCTCTCTCTCTCAAGTTTGTGCAGGGAGATGGTGAACTGTTTTGTCAGAACTTAAATGGAAAAAAAAAAATAAACCTACAACAAGCCTACCTTTTATAACTGGGTGTTTAGTGCTAAACAGCCAGAACCACAGAGACAGCATTGTATAACCAAAGTATTTGATGCCAAAATTCGACGTTAAAGTAATGATTTGATTTCCTGCCCTAGGTTCGTAGGTTCTTTTTTTTTTTTTTTTTTTTTATTTCTTTTGCATTTACTTGCATGTTTCCTCTTCAAGATGCCTAAAAATGTTTTTTGCAAAACATCACAGGACCGTATCTAGACCAAAATAAAACCGAAAGCTCTTGCATCAGTCGTTTTTCATGCTTGAGCTCACCATGGGGAAATGATAGGAAACTGAACCGGAGGGCGTTAATAGCAGCCTGCAGCGTTGTGTTCAGGGCCATTTGTCTTAGTATTCCATGGTCAGACGTTGACACTTTTCCACACGTGATTTCCTTTATGCATTTTGTACTGGTTTTTGCCTGATAAGTCTGCTCCACTGGTTTCATCAGATACACTTGCTGCTACTGGCTTCTCTTACTGTTTTTTCCATCCTCGCTTAGGTGATTTGACACAAAATGTTCTGCAGCGTCAAATTAGCAGTGGAAAGAATACAGAGGTTCATAAAGGAGCTGGGACTGACCCCGCTCCCCAAAATCCAGAGTGCTGCCGTGGTAGACCCTGCACAATCTCTTGGTGCTATGTAGCCATTAACCCCACAACATTGCTTTTTTAAAGGCCATCAGAAGTTCCATTGTCATGGTGGGAAGCATTTTGGATATGATGCAGGAAATTTCTTCCTGAAGTAGAATGTTTCTAAGAGGTCCTGTATTTTTGAAGAAATTGAATTTATTTAAGTAATATTTATGCTCATGCTCATGTTGGCCAGGCAGTGTTTTTCAATGGTGCTTATTAGAAGTTTTTTTTTTTCATCTTGTCATTTTATGAAAATAAAACTGGAAATTGAATATGGGTGGCATGATTGTACCCTCCCAGTCCTGTATTTTCTCATTCTTCTCTCCTCTCTACCAAGGCCATACTCGTACACACCTGTCCAGTGAGCATCATGGAGATTATCTGGGGTTTTCTGTTTTGGGGTTTTGGTTTTTGTTTCTTGCAGATTTCTTCACTACTTTTCTGTGACTCCATAAACATTTCCTGGAATCTAGTAGACTGAATTATGAGGACTGTTTTGATTCATAAATGAACCTGCTGGATCTTTTTATAGTTTCCCTGTGTAGAGGAGAGTAGGCTGGTAGTAAAGTTTCTTCACTTTTCATATCAAAGCTGTACAGTGACCTCCTTTCCTTTGGGAGTGACCAGCCGTCTTGCAGGCTTCAAGCTTTCGAGAGCTTTAATTCTAAGATGAGAAAAGGAATGACTTCAATATAGATGCTCCAAGGAAGGAGCAGGGAAATGAATGCTAAGGTCTTCATTCAAGTAGCAAGCTAAGAAAAAGCCTGCTTGGAAGTATTCCTAGACATCATTCCTGCAACCCAAGGCAAATGACTAATAAGTAATATTCTAATGACCCGCTTAATCATATTGTAATGCTACTGAGTCACTTACTGATTCATACATAACTAGAGAACCTACTGATTTTGCTAAACTCTCCTCCTGATAACACTGCAGGCCCTTTTGACATAAAGAACCAAAGTTAACCCTAGG